TGCGTTTCTTCTCGTCTCTTATTTTTCGTCTACATTATCGAATGTCTGAGATATATGTCCCTCAAATGCTGTCGTATTCGACTTCTTATATCTACGTTGTCATTACTGGGATTGGTCGACATAACATATATGCGAAGTAAATTAGAGTATGTATTTCATTAACATCAATATCATGCGATAGCAATACAACTAAGTATGCAAACATATACACACTATCGTACAAACACTATTGTACACACCTATACACTAAACATGATCATGGTTACACGTGAGTAATTGGTGATCATAAATATTTGGGTGATAGGAAAAATAGAGAGATTAGAACAATTTACCTGCCAAAGGTTAGGACAAATCACGTCGAAGAGGTTCGTTACACAGTACAAATATTTCACCTGGACTTATATTGATGTGACAAACTTTTCTCCTATACATAAGTTGAGCTTGTGTAGTTCGTTAGATTGTTCAAGAAGACATAGAAAGTTAACATTTTCACTTGACATATATCATCTGTGTAAGTGAAGAACATGATTAATTTGCATCTATTTGAGCATAAATAAAACTACTGCATGAGTTGTTTTGATCTGTCAGGTAAACAATGCCAGATACAAGTGATCAATGGATTAATAACTCTGTGACGTTGTAGACACTTGTGTTATTCAAAGCTATCCATCACCTGTATGTAACTTCATTGCTTAATGTGTGGAAACAGTATATCCTATCAAGATAGAAATTGCATGGCTAATTGATAGTGTTTGAATGATGTGACAGAGTCTAAAATACTAGCTTCAATAATTATCAAATGCCTACAAAAGACTCGTGAGCTGCAAAGTCGACCTCAGACTTGGTCGTGGCTGCATCGATCATATATTCACTACTCATCAGATTCTAGAACACAAACATGCTTATCGGCGTCCGACAATGGTGGACCTTCTTGACTTAAAAGCAACATTTGACTCTGTAGACCGAGGGGTTCTATGGCATTGAAAGGTATACCTCAGAAATAAATAAACCTTGTAGTTAATTTCTAACCGAACACCGATAGTCCAGTCAGAGCTTATGGCGAACTGTCATCTGACTCTGTAACCTCAAGTGGTGTCCGTCGAGACCGTCCACTATCTCTATTTTTGTTCAATTTCACCATAGACATACTACTGGAAATAACGTTCTCGTCGTCTGTATGTTCAGGAATTGATCTGCTACCAGGAGGTCCACTTATCGACTTAAAATACGCAGATGACATAGTCCTGTTTGGTGAAGACGCTGATTAAATGCTTAGTCTTTTGGTAACACTGAGCAACAATGTCGAGGTGTTTGGTATGCGCTTCTCCCCCTCTAAATGCAAGTTGTTACTTTATGACTGGTCTGCGTCAACACCATAACTAATGATAGGGAGTGAAGTAGTCGGACGCGTTCACAACTTCACTTATCTTCGAAGTCTGATTGTGTTGTTCATATTGTATTGGTCATGTAAGTACCTTCTACCCATTGTATTATCAATAACATTTTTTAGTTGCAGGGAGAAACTTGTGCTTCATCTGTTATTGATGCAATATCACTTTTTTTTCTATTTCTTAGTAAACTTGTTCTTAACACGTTTTGTATACTTCAGAATATTATCATCGTTTAAAATTTTTCGTTTTATGTTTGTATCCAATTAAATCTTTCTACACAAGATGATTAATTGGTTAGCTCTAACATAACATGACACTTGAATGGAATTTTATCAAATTCTCCATGTAGCATTTAATTTTGCTCTTAGTGAGAATATCATACTTGTTTGCTATTTAAGAGTTCATTTCACACTGACGTATTTTTATTATTGGAATTTTAAAAGTGACATTTTAGTAAAAAAAAGTGTTCATAATCATTTAGAAGAATCCATTGGTCACTTTGATTAGTTGATTTTCAGCCGCGGCTTAGGGAAACATTAGATCAATACTATTTCATTTTGTATTATCTTTGAATAACAGTAAGTAACCTGTTTTAATAAATTCAAAACTCCCATATATATTTTTTTCCATAAAATTAGTCAACATTTGTAGAATGGTGAACCTTCATATGATCTTAGATGAATTGACTAAGTATGTAAGAGTTTATTAAAACTGATTACAATTAGATAATTAAATGAAATTAATCGGTACATTAAAGTAATAATCGCTCAAAGTAACTTTACAATTGATAACAAATATACCAATATGAGAAAATCAATTTACATATGTAGAATAAGATTAAACGTATGTTGTATGAACAAGTGAAGGTTGTATTGTTTGGTTTGTTGTTGTTGTTGAATATTTAATCGTATACACATTGTGGATACTGTCATCTTTTTACAGTTAATTGCTTAACTTCATGTACACGCTGTTTTTTTTTCAGTTTTCTAACTAAAATAGTAATTGTTAAACTACAACTCTGTTATACCAGTAAATTTAATTAGTGAAATGGAACAAGCCATTTGTAGTTTATTGTCAATAAATGGTTTTGTATTAGTTAATAAAGATAATGATAATAATAATTTATTTGAAACTATCAAGTCCAACCTTGGCATTGATAGGTACTAAATAAAGATAATTTGAGAATGACTGACTACACATAATGTATTGTCAGTGATTTTTTATTTTGCTTCTTTAGTTGGTTTTGTTTGTTTGTTTTCAAGTTTGTCTCTTTTACCTTCCTCTTACTACTCATATTAAATAATATGTATTACAACGTGTTAATAAATGTGTTTACGATAAATTTAGTTGCAAACTATAGACATTAAACTGATCTCACCTCCTACTAATTTCATACACTACAAAACTCGTTTGATGTATATTATTTTTGGGTTTCTTTTCTCTCTCTCTCTTGGTATAGATTTTTAATTGAATTATCCAGGATAGCTTTAAGTTTTATTTAGTTAAACGTCAGTTGGGGGTTTACAGACATTAAAATTGTTTAATGACATTCTTAAATGAAACGGTTTATTCTGAGTAAGTAACGCTTCAATAATAAGCATTTTGCCATACAAATTATAAAGTTAATAATACTTCAGTGTAATTTGACATCATCTGTCATTTCAGGATGTTGGTAAAACTTGCCAACGTTGATATTTTGAATATTAACCACAAGAAATTACCAAATTAATACACCCAATAGAGCAGGAAGACACCTGAAGGGAACTTCAGAAGAAAACAAACAAAAACTTCAATGTTTAAAAATCTCCGCTATTTTGTGAAAATATCTTCATTTCTTCACACAGTTCATGTCAATAATTCAACTGACTCATTTGATATACTCTCATGCAGTGCCTTTTCCTTCTTTCACACATATCAGTCAGCATCCATAGCATATGAAAATATGCGACTTTCGGGTATGCGTATTACACCTTCAAATGTTGGTTTGGTTGGTAATATACTTCAAAAATAACATTCTTGCATCGTGTTCAAGGCCGTGTGATCAATCCGTTTATTGTGAGAACAGTTGTATTATCTAGTCTGGTTATTAGTTTATTTCTCCTATTTTACCTGTAGAACCAGTGACCTTTACATCTAGTATCTCAGTGTCCCTGAATAATGATAGAAGAATTTTAATGCTTATTGGTCCACGGGTTTCCAATCAGATGTGTATAACCAAACACATTAATTCACTGTTGTACTCAGTACATTCACAACTCAAAACTCATAAAATAATATATCTCAGGTAACCTGACCACACAACAACACAAATGAGAAGTTACTATATATGCACAATATTAAGTCATAATCGGTGCAAAGACGAAACAATACGTAAATAATTAATAAAGAAAAAATCTGAAACAGTAAGAGATATTACAACGGCTTATGTGTCAAACAAATGCTATCAACTACGATTGTATTAGAATACAAAAAAAAATAACTAATAGTTCTGGAGGCTCAGTTTTTCTCAAATTTTCTTTGAAATGATAAAAGTATACTGTAAAAGCATGTTTTAATAATGTTGGCTGGCTATTGGACATTCAAATGTGTTTCTTAACTGTTAACATTTTACCTGTCCAATCCATATGATTTTCATGTCAAATGATTGAAGATATTTTTTTATTCATACTGTTGAATAAAAAATCTGAAACGCTATGCTTTATTGATAAGACAACTCGTTTATCGAACATTCCAAGTTTTAATTGATTTCATATAGAGTCGAATAAATTTATTAAGGCATGTATTGTGAATAAGTTCATATTATTCTAACAATTGACAACCGTCTCTATCATCTCAAATGTGTAAGTTGATGATGAGGCTTAAGTTGATTAATTACTGTAATATTTTTTTATTCTAAATTTAATTCAAAATATATTTATATCTTTGTTTTACTACACGGATTTTTCTCACTTTGTATTACCTTCCTACCGAAAAAGAATGACTATCGTTTCTTCTCATTTGTATTTACAAACAACTCCATTTTCTTTTCTTCATTTTGTACAACTTTTCGTGTTTAAATGATTTACTTATGTATGCATGAAAAGAGTGTCCATCACGCACTAACATAAACTGAGGAAATATTGAAAACCAGCGAGCACTTAAAACAGTTACTTCGTCTTAGTTGTGGTCTCAATAGTGACCACACATTACCTATAGACTACTAACTTAAGAGTATAAAGTTGCGAACCAGTTTTTGATAATTTTTAATTAATTCACGTGGTCTTCATCTAGTGTAATCATTGATAATTGTTTCGAACTCGATATGATCATTCATTATCACTAGAACTTCAGTAATCCATGTCGAAGTTAGTTGTTATGGATTGTGGCGATCAGTTTAATGTGAGATCAGTGTGTGTGACGAAATCTTTCTTCATTAGATTTTACAACCCCCCCCCCAATCCACTCAACCGATCTCACTGATTTATTCTGCCTTCATTTTCTTATTAATGTAATTATTTCATTGCTTTTTATTGTTATGCTTAAAATCTTTCATACTATAATATTCCCATTAGTTGTCGTTTCTTCCTAAATCTTCCCTCATTTAATTTCATCTCGTTTATTGTTTTACAGTTCGACAGGAAGTTTCGAGGATAGAACGGTCAACATCAAATGTAACTCAGACATTAGTAGCCAAATTTCAAGAATTAGAGTCTGGAAACAACACAACTAGTATACAAAATTCTCTACTACAGAATCAAGTGAGTTTGCTTCATTTAATAAAATTATACATACTTGATTAGGCTGAATTATTTAATGACTCGTTTGTATTAATATGATCGTACATTTAAAGATTTCTAAAATTGTAAATGTCAGTTATTGGATTCAAGCTCAGTAGTCTTGTTATGATCTCTCTCAATCCCCCAAATCAGAACATGGTTGAACAGGAACGTAGTTATATTCTATATAAACAACGTTGAATGGAAGTAGGAATCAGAATAAGAAAAACGTTACTATATTTATAATTTTACACAAGATTCTAGACTCTTTTCCAAGTATTTGCTAGCGCTGATTGATTAGCAAATAGCCAACCAATGTGCCCCAAAATTATCCTGCACGGAACACTTTCTAATCCAATCTATATCCCGCTAACAAGTCTTAAAATCCTGCATTTGATCCCCCATAGTTTCGTGAGTGTGCATTGCTAAGCAGTCCTAAACTATGCTCCCTGATTTTCTGTAGAAGTGTACATGAAGTCATCTCCATATGATTCCTACTTCTGACTCCCTGAGTATAATTGCTTGTAAGTGGTTCTAAAATTACATTTAGTTTTCACTGGGATGTAATTGTCGGAAATTTGTCGTCTATTTGAACATCGTTTAACTGGATGCTACTAGTAATATAAAAAATGATTATTTCTTACAAAATAAATTGAACGTAGTTTAAACGTTAGATTATGTCATACCTACTTACTAAACAGAATACATTATATTCACATAATTACAGTCAATTAATATGTTTGTTTTAAAGAAAACTGTAAAATACTCTGCAGGCTCTTAATTTTATGATATTATCACCATATTATTTGTCATGTATGCTAAAGATGGCTGGAGGTGAGATAGGTGGTCAGGAGGAGTGTGTAAATCTAATGTTGAAAATAGTTTCTTGACCTAACTGATGAATAAAAGTAAAGAGAATTCAGCGAAAAAAATTCTCTTTTCGACGAAATTCCTTACTTAAGCTGTACATTAGCATTCATAGTTGTTTGATAAATGTACGTCTATAGAACGACAGCAGGGGTTACACCATTAAGTGATCCAAGATTTCAAACATCAAATGGAGATTATGTTACGATCATTGGGTTTGAGACAAATAGGAGAGGCGAAGAATAATCTACGGGTCAGAAATATCAGAGTTCATTATCGACTTGAACTAAATGAAGAAAAGTGTGAAACGTAAAGATCACAATAACAGTTCAATAATAGTCATGAAAAATTGTTAGAGTATTATAATAATAATAATAATAATAATAATAATAATAATAATAATAATAATAGTAATAGCTGATTACGGTTTAAATAATTCAAAATAATAAAAAAACAAGACATATTGGAGAGTATAATTTGGGTCACAGAATGAGAATTTGGACTTGTCGCTTTTGGGCTTAGAGTTCGGTCATGACTAGGTAAATTGCCAACGCTTTATCAGCGAACGGCTTATAAAAGGGGAACGCGAAGCTATCATTAGCCTAATACAGGAGCACCTGGACACGTTTCAGAGGAATTGTCCTTTAAGGTAATCTGTATAGTTAAAAGAATTTGATCAAAGCGAGGTCGAACCAAAATAATTGCGCACTGCTTAGACGTTGACATTTCACCGATGCAAGACCGAATTCTGAGTCCAAAAACGATGTTTAACTTCTCATTCTTCTTTGACCCAAATTATACTCTCCAATATGTCTTGGTTTTTTTTATTATTTTGTATTATTTAAAGCGTAATCAGCTATTATTATACTCTAATAATTTTTCATGACTATCATTGAACTGTTATTGTGACCTTGACGTATTTCATTTCCTTCCATATCGTTCAATTCATCGTAAAAATATTGTGTATGTATTTAACAGATTCATTTGTCATTCAATAAAGTTTATATTTAAGTTCATATTTAAGAGTGATTGCCTGGTGGGTAAGGTGTTCAATTTTTAGTCACTAAATCTCAGATCTGAATCTACCCATTTGGTTTTGGGCAACTAAGTAGCATCGGTAGACCTCAGACTTAGGACATAAATTGAATCCAAATGCATGAATTTGTACCTGATAAATGATTATATTCAAGAAGGAACAACTCTTCTCTCTCTCTCAGTAAATATATGTAAGTATATTCATGTCATTTAAAGAAATTAAGTAGACAAAATCACACTTTTGTTAATGTGGAGAATATTGTATGAATCAGTGGGTTTTACTTTTTATCACTGATGATAATTTCTTAATTCTTTATCTTCTTGCTTTCTTTTTCAATACTCTTATTTGTGGTCACTTTCAAATGTATGTGCACATGTGTTAATCACGTAGCCACCACATAGAATCTATTTTAACTCCACTCATACAGGACCAACCAGTGCAAATGGTGATGTTTTTCCATCGTCAGGAAGTGCTCGTCAATTAGTAGAACGTTGGAATAAAATGCCTTTGGAAAATCACCAGGTAAACTCGAATTTTTGCCAAAAAAGACTCATTCTGTCTTTATTCTTATTACCAATACTGTTTACTTATAAGTATTGAGTAATCCAAATCACCATAGTCTCTATTCTTTCAACTAAGATGAAGTATAATGGTCAATTTTTTTGTATGTGTGTGAGCTCAAACCCAGGACCTTCGGTCTTGCGCGCGAACACTTAACCTCTAGACCACTGAACTGGCAACCAACGATGTTAGTGTCCAACTTCAACCATTCCACTATGTTGCGCCACCGTCCACCATTGTCTTCAGTGAGTGGATGCGCACTGCTGAAGAGTTCCATACTAGGATAAAACTTTTCCGGTGCTTTCAGGTCTCCCATGGTGGTCTAGTTCTAATTTTATGTCGAGATTAAATGTAGAATTTCCATACCTTATATTATTCCTCATTTCATGTGTATTGTAAAGATTAAGGCATTAGTGATAGAAATGATATATTTGTAGTCTTAATGAGTAATACATTTCTGACGTTTTGCAATATAGTGTAAGCCAGTTGTTCAGAGAATAAAAACAAATAAACGAATTGAATTAACACAGGTTTAATTAGTACAAAGGACACGAAACAGAATTCTTTTGGTACAATCAACTTTAAAATCGGTTTGATCATGTTAATTTCATGTCATTTCGGTCAAGGTGATTTTTATTGTGTGAGATATTGCTGTGTGTAATTGTATATGGGTGTAAAAATAGTGCATTTGTAATACTGAACAGTAAGATTATGAATACTCATCTGTTTGTCAATGGTGTGAGATGTTAATTTTATAAATATTTGGGGAAGTGATCCATGGTGGATGAATATTTAAGTCTTCCTTGCTGTTCAGTGTGGTAGGATTTAGCAAAATCTGGAAAGTTTCAGCTACTCGCCTTTCGAAATTTTTTGGATATTATTAATATTGACTTGATGGTTGTTAAAAAAACCAAGTACTGATTGGTTTATTGATTTTCTAAACCTACAAGATTATTTTGAGGTTATTTATTATAGTAATGATTTCGCGAGAAAACTCCTATATAGAATTCATCACAATCTATATAACCTAGTCAATAGACGCAATTGTGTCGAAGTAATAGAAATTTTATCTTTTACTTTAACCATAGCGTTTCTAAGGGTGTTCATTATTTCACAGAATTCTTGAATTCTGTGTCATCTAAGGATTCATTACAGCTTTTCTGTTGTGTCATGACGGTATGGTAAAACTACAGTGTAATAATACATTTCAGTTCATTCAGTTTATTTAATAAGTGACAAAATAATATTTCGTTTTGATGTAGTTTTAATAATATTCATGAAAACGTTTTCAAACTGTAAGATGTTGATTATATTTTTCTGTTCCTTTTTTCTCTTCATCTGATGTCATGATGTTTGACACTCGTCTGACTAAGTTTGGAGCCGAGAATATTTTTGTACTGAGTGGATGTGCCGATTCGAAATCAATATTTCGATTTGAGTTTGTGTGTGCTTATGGTAGATGAGTTGATTGAGACATCCATTTGAATTTTTTTGACTAAAGAGTATAAAGTTAGTAGTTTACTGGGTTCATTTTGGAAAGCGAATTTTATGTGAGCTGAAAAAGTATTTTTCACTTTATAAAAGTCCCTTAAGAGAGTTGTTTCACTGATGGTGAAAGTGTCATCTTCATATCTAAGCTAAATGCATAATTCTGATAGCACGTGGAAAAATATGCGATTTTATATAGAACTGATGTCCTATATAAAAGGGCGACAACCGGTGATACATATGATTCTATGGAGCCTCTTTTATTTTTCTATACAAAGTCCCTTTGGATATTAATCAGGTAAAATTCAGAATTATAGGGCTCTCATTATTAAATTAATGATTAATGGAGATCTGTTAAGTAGTAAATAAAACAAAATCTAATTTCCTACTCATTGGGATATTACAAATATATTATTTATTTATAAGAATCAACCCAATGCTCAATTTATTCAAAATTATCTGCTAAGTAGATTAATATCATGATTCTCTAGTAAATCATTAATAAAAGCTAGGAATTTTGTCAACAAGAATACTAGTACATAAATATACATAATAACTCACAATCGTTTCGTTTTTTGACAGACAGATCCGAAATTTTCTATTTGAAATCATTAGAATTTTTAATGATATTGTGTTAGTTCCTGTGAACTGGTCTCAGTATACTGCTTAGATGTTTAGAGTGTTTGTGGAATCTACTAAGTTTTAGTGGTTCATCAGGTTTATGAACTTTTTGTAACCCATAAAAATGTGATGTGGTGCATGATTTGAGATACAAAGTAAGTCGTAAAGAGATACCAGTGATTGACTTTAGTTCTTTAAGAAGTTCGCCTTTCTCTGATTTGACTTTATTTTAATCATTCAAAAGAATTGTAATTTGGTTTGAATTATGCATCCATTTCTATGCTAACACAGGACATTATGTAAATTACAATTGTATTTGAAAACTCATAGGACTTGGATCAATCACCTGGCAATAATTTAGACTTGAAATGCATGAATATGTAAGAATGGATAAAAGAACTGTTGTGAGCACTTTTTTATGTATTTGGACTAATTAATAACTGACAAGAAAAGTAGGAGTATAAGGATGGTAATACAAAAATACCAGTAGTCACTTAAAGATAATTCACAAATGTTCGTGTCCATTCAGTGGTCGGTTCGATTTATTATTATAAGGTGACAACATAAATGCAATCAAAAAGTGATGAAGGGGTTCGATCGTGAACAAGCGGAACCCTATTACTTTTAAGAGTATGAGGACTGTTTTCTCTTCCCGGCTTCCTATACCTGCACCCACCAATGAAGGAAATTTCTTCTTGAGGGACCAGGAAAAGAAACCCAGTCAGTGGTCTTAGAGATCTGGAAACGTGGTCGGACAGTCAAAGAGGTAACTGCTTGAGGCTGGTCGCACACAACCTTTTTATGGGAAGCGTTTGATGTTAGCTCCGCATTTCAAAAGACCTTTTCTCTGGGGACGAAAATTCGTGGGGTAAGATGAGATACGACATTCTTCATATCAACCTTTTGTAACCCCCTTCTTCATTGTGAAAAGGCGACATCGTTGCAGATGTTGAATGTCTGGAAGAAACATGTTACCGCTTTCACACCTCAATGCAGTTAACAGTATGACTTCATCCTCGAACCACAAGCTTGCTGCTTTCAGGCTTACCGTTCCCCAACCAGCCTGACATGATAGAACCTAAGGGAAAAATCGTTCCAGGCAATATAGCTTGTTCGGATCATTGCGATAGGCAAGCTCGATTACCACATTAAGATAACAGCTGTGGTCGGGATGACATAAATTCGTCTCTTTTCGGCCGATTACAGTTTACTTGATATTGCTACATGAAAAACACCTTTTAGAGCCAATTTACAAAAGTCAACCGGACAATTTAGTATCTAAAAAGAATATCCATCAGTTCAGTTTATCATGTTTCATGGTAGGTAATTAGAAAGATTAAAGTAAAAGTACTTCAAACAATAGTATTACTAACCATAGTAAAGGCTCGATGAATAATGTCTCTTAAAACCAACATATGTTATGTGTGGATAGTGGATGTATTTGGCCACTGCAATCAATTTGGGGAGGGGGTTGTCACCCAAACTTTCCAATTATAGGTTACGACCATTACGTCAACCATGACCAGCAAATTTACACCTTCCCACACTTCTAGACCGTTTGCCAATTGTTTTTGGTTTAATCTTCCATTGCTTTTTTCCAAACTGTTCTCTTGTCAGCCAAAATTATATTTGGAAATATGAAGGAGATGGGTACACATAATAGTGCAGACCAAAGTAGTTTATTATAAAATATTTCATAAATGAATTGTCAGTTCGATAAGGAGTTTATTTATAGATAGGGTTGGGTAATGTGCAGTATTGGAAGAATACAACGTACCACCAGTAGATAAGTTACATCATATCACAAGTCGACTAGAATTCCTAATATCATTAACTCCAATTAGATTCTGTGATTTATAGCTTGATGTGTCTACTCTTTGTCCTAGAAGTTTTTCACTTGATTGTGGCAATTAGATTTTTCTAAAAGACAATGGAAATCGGTCAGGAAAATCTTCCACTGGATATACTTACGGTCACATACAAGATGAAAACTTCGAAGGACGACAGAAGAATAAAAGGCGAAAAGGGATGGGTAAGAAACACTGGAGAAAATAAAACTAGTCATCGAGTTAAAGGTAGACCCAAGAAATGAGTCATGTTTTTTTAATAACGTTGGTGAGTTCAATAATATCTTTTTCCATAGTCACTATGAGTTCATAAAACCCTAGGAAATATTTTAGCCACTCAAGAAATGAGCAATCACTTGTCACTTTTTAATTGAATAATTACCCATGCAGATACTGTGTTCAGTGTGTTCATAGAAAGTCCTGGAATATCAAGGTCACATACAGTCATAAATACCCTTAGTTTTGTATACACAAACTAACTTCTGAATAAAGATTTTACGTTCCGCGCTTCTCCTCTAAGAAGCGGCTAGGAATTCAGCAATAAGCGTTCCGGTAGTAGATTTATCAGATATCCAGTCTTTGTCGGCTGACGATGAAAATCAGTCAAATTTTACTTCATACGTCTTAGGATTCTTGATAACTAGGACACTGAGTTATTTTTTTTTGACTTGATGTCTGACTGTTCCTATCACTAGGTTCTACATTTCGTTAGCTTCATGCTTGTTATTTGAAAAGATTGCATATAAAGCCCTCTTCCTTAACTTAAATGTTGAAAAATCAATATTGACTTTGTTTCGTACTCGAAGATAGATAAATAGAAATCTTCCTTAAATTTAGACTGTTGGTCGAGTTGCGCCTGAAATAAATGGAAGACCTCATGTTTTAAACCAACGGAAATTCATTCCTGTGGAACGTAAGTTAAACCATTTTCTTTGGTATGTATGTTTATATATTTCTAGTACTTTTATTCTGTAAATACTGAACATAATTGGAAATGAAATATACTCTGTATATGAGGAACAGATAAACATAACTGAGATGACCACACCACACCTTGTTTGATATGTGCCATAAATAATTGCAAACAATTTCCTAATTGTGACAAACAAAGTAAATGTTCAAGTCAACCGAAATGCATTCCGCTTATAATCGTATAACACATTAATAAGACATTTTAAACTTAACTACTTGTGAGTAGTTCATTAGTTGTTGTAAAAAAGAGGTTTTGATTCAAGTTTAGGGATTGCAAAGGATTTTATGTACACGTTATATATATATCCTTAGGAAATTAGGACGAACATTTATTTGGGTCTAATCTTGTGTAAATTAAAGCTATTTCTCAACCAACCACGTCTACTCATCATTTGTTTATTTTATCTACATGGTTCACTGTATCGAAACAATTTCTTAGTTCTAATCTTACTTACTCGCATAGAACTGAAATTTTTAATTGAGCAGTTGATAGTCATTTGATTTCTAGTTGACGAATTCACGAAATCAAGTTTATAGTACCCAACTAAATAATCGGAATATTATAAGTATTTTACGGTGTGCATCTGGTAATCTACATCGATTCATATATTTACATGCTGTTTCATTTTCGTCATACTATGTGCATACTATATTTAAAGCTATCGTTTTCATGAATTAATAAATTCTTTGCAAAACAAAACTATAAGTTTTCATATTTACTGATTCTAGCCAAACCGTTAACTAGAAAACCTGTCGAACAAAAACCAAAACAATTAGTCAGTGAATTAAAACAAAATTTCAGTCATAAACCTGAAGATGAAGCTTAGTAAGTTGAATTTTAGTTTAAGAATGGATGAAACTAATTGGCGATTTTTTTCAAAAAAATCTTTGATTTGAGACATTTTATTTGACTGACAGATTTGCGAAAATTGATTGAATTTAGTTCTCGTTACGAATATTTTATATTGGACGATGAATCATTGAAAATCGAGAAGCTCCGGATAGTTCTGTTGTAGTTTAGAATTTCTCGGTTGTACACAAGCACGCGGTGGTCGAACTTTGAACACTGAAATTTCACAAACAATATACATTACCTTTAGTTCACTTCATGGTGTAACGCGACACTGTTCGACTGGTTCCATCAGGCAATTCGTTGTTCAAATAACGTAGTATATTTATAGTGTGGGATCGTTTTTATTTATTGGGCTCCAACTTTTTGTACAACTATGGAGCTCCACTAATGCGTATCGTTTTGTGTAGAATCTAAAAAAATTCCAGACGAACGTTTATCATTGAGAAATTAGCTATGTGTTTGCCAAGTCATCCAAATAAATAGTCTCATATCATTTAACCAGCCCTCATATACAAAAATGCCGTAGTCATTGCTTTGGTCAAGCTATTCTGCTAGACAGACGTTTGTACAAAAATCATAGTAGCCACTAATTGATGATAAGACGTGATAACTGTGAACTTTTTTTGCAAGAATCTCCACTGTGTCGTTAGATAATGCCAAACACTTCCCAGCCTATTGTAGTTTCAGTCCATGTCATTTATCGGCTTGGACACAAGGATAGTAGTAACCATAAATCAAAGAGGTTTTTCCATGGTGGGGTTTAGAAGAATCACTGTATAATATGGGGAGGCTATATGTGCTTGATTTGTGTTCTAAGTTAAAAAAAGAAAATTTTGTCATCATTTTCATCATGTAGTGATACTATTTAAATAGTTATAATGGAAATTTGTCTAGCTTAATTTAGAAAACATTAACAAATCTAGAATTTTGTGAACCTTCATATATAGTGGTACCTAAAACACACTTTGTGCCAATTCTCGCCTATTAAATTCTTGTGTAATTTTCTTTATAATAGAATTCCGGTTTAAAATATCCTAAAACCAAAACCAAATTTGTAATCAGTCTCCAAACTCTCTTCCATTGTTGATGTTCACAGTATGAATTTTGGTGTAAACTATGTGGTAATTTGTTTTCTCTGTTGAGTGATGTACGCTAGTGTTGACATATATATATATTTGATAATTTTGTTGTTTGATTATATTTTCCTTGAAAAAGCTTGGACCAGATTGCCAGGCGAAACGTTGGATTTACTTCAAATTCTTTCGCTGAGATTTTACGAATACATTCTTCCTCTTTAATGTCTCATACTAAATCGGCGCCCGAATATTGTGAAACTATTCGTTCAAATTTAGACTAAAGTTCTTATATATCAATCTATTTCAGTTTGAGATCTTGGGTATTATAGCTGTTACACTAGTAGTCTGTCTCAATCGAATACATCATCTTGTTACGTATTTTTGCTTGTATTGACATTTTCAAAGTGTCACACTTCAAAGTCACTATTGTAACCGCTGGTTGTACAATATTAGACTAGTGAGTCATTCATATAATTTACTGTTACTTTAGGTCAGAGGGTAAAATCGTACTTCTGAGTGTAGAGGTTTGTGATAACAATAAGATGTTTCCCCCAGACATCCAACATCTGCAACGATGTCGCCTTTTCACAATGAAGAAGGGGGTTACAAAAGGTTGATATGAAGAATGTCGTATCTCATCTTACCCCACGAATTTTCGTCTCCAGAGAAAAGGTCTTTTGAAATGCGGAGCTAACATCAAACGCTTCCCATAAAAAGGTTGTGTGCGACCAGCCTCAAGCAGTTACCTCTTTGACTGTCCGACCACGTTTTCAGATCTCTAAGACCACTGACTGGGTTTCTTTTCCTGGTCCCTCAAGAAGAAATTTCCTTCATTAGTGTGAGCGACCGGAAAGTGACAACTGCCCTCATATGTCTATCAGCACCCAAAATCATCTTGTTGATGGTCATATCCCTCCCTCACCTCATAATAGTCCTTCCATCCCCATGAATAACCGTTCTCGTATATTTTTATCATCACACACCAGCAATTATAGGTTTAAGAGAACACAGGTAAGTTATGTTGTTCACGTATTTTCTTGTTTTTCAAAAATCTTTTCTTTCCTTCTAGTAGTTCCTCAGAGTCTACTGAAAGTGCGAAAATTGGTCAGTATCATAGCACAAATGGTAAAACAAGTGAATTTCCAACTCCGGGTATTACACGAAATCTGGTTGCTAAATTTTCTGCCCTTTCTGCTGCATCCTAACTTATGACATATTCTCAGCACTTTTTTTTACCAAAAATAGTAGCGTAATCAGATGAAGATGATGATGACCATTAAAACGATTTGGTCATAATCAATAGGAACACACTTTTTCGCAACAATTCTTTTTTTTCGATTTTACTTTCAAATTACTGATTACTAATACTCTTTTATTACAACTTTTGTCGCTGTTATTGTCATCCTTGTTACAGTCTATTTCTTTATACTGATCCACTTTTTCATAACAACAGATTGTTGCATCTTAATTTATCATTTCATTGTGGTTCATTCATTACGCTTACATTATTAAGTATTTATTCGATGTTGTTACTGCTTAGATTTTTGTTTGTGAATAAAATTTACTTATAAGGAGGAGGAATTATTAAGCACCACATGGTATGCTTCTGATATTCATTATATATATATATATATATATATATATATATATATATATATATATATATATATATATATATATATATATATATACAGAGAGAGGGAGAGAGAGAGTACCAATTTGGTCTGTCATTGCTAGTGTCATTTATATTTCTTGTCAATCTATAAAACTTGCTTTTTTAACACTTAATTTCCTTCTTGATATGATAGTATTCTTTTTTACATAGCTTTTATTTCTGTTAACACACATTTGGAAGTAACCATAGTTGAGTTTATTTCAGTGAGTTTGTTTTGGTATTTATCGTGTCCATTTCTACCTGTTTTACTTGCCCTACATAGTGTGTTTTCTTCTTATACATGATTCATTTGTTTTTTTGTTTTATGATACTACCAATAATACGAATTTTTGTCCTGTTTTTCGTTGTCATATTTAATGCTTCCACTTTTCTTCTTGTCTATATTTCTTTGTTTTTTTTTTTGATAATGTTTAAATACCGAACTGTTGCTGTTAACCATTCTGTTTCTCGAGTAAAGCTTAATTACAAATTAAAGGTTTCTACGTGTGTTTCCCAGGTAGATCAATCGCAGCCTGTATAATTCAGTAATAAGTTTTAAATCTCATGAAGAGTACCAGTTCCTTCAAGGTTACAGGCAATTTAACAAGTGTCAACTAGCAAGAAACGTGTTTCTAAAACTTCCAACACTATCCATATTTGTAGAATTACTGGCAAAAACATCTATACTTATTCTGGACTTTTGAAATTGGTACTCATAAGAGGATTATATCTAAGGTTTACTACAACTTAATCATAAGTAGTATGCAGAAAAAAACTAACTGGTCTACGGATTTTCACATTTAACTGCATGCATTGCCATTTTGCTACTTAGTATTCAATTCGTGTGTTCGTTTCTTTTAAACAATTAAAATAAAGCTGAATCATAAACTGTACAGTGTTAGTCAGATTCACTTTCCAAAAGATTACTTGTTATACCTATTTAAGTTAATTTTCTTTAAATAACTTTGTGTAATGAGCTGAGTAAATCAGTTAGTCTTCAAAATTCTTCTAAATACAATCGACTATCTTGGTTACTATTTATCATATCTATGAACTTATTCGTAAGTGCCTAATAGCCTATGGATATGAGCTAAAATTTACATTTTAATTGTTGAAATATTTGACGTTTGAAGCTGTATAACTGTAATATTTACTTACCTTGTGGCGACAGATTGGTTTTCAGATCTTTCATTACTGAACTTTCCTTAATAAAATCCATGATTGAGTTAAACTGAGAGAATAACTCACTACCAGTAATGTGACCAGAGCATCAAACCTAATTTTCTTGCACAAGCAAGCGAAAAGTCAACTTACAACCTACAGGGAAATTTGTATGACAAGAATTCAAGCTTTCTGAACCAAGCTTTCTATAATCATATGCATAGTACAAATACTTGTGTGTCTCATTTATTGAAAGGATCACCGTAGAATTTTGTCTCAACAACTTTCGAAATTTGCTAAATAGCATGATATTGATTGATCCATCTGCTCTGGAAGATTTTTCATAACAGTATAGTGTGGTGCACATGATACTGAAATCAAGGACTTCGATATTGATTTTCCAAAATGTTGTATTCGAAGATTAAATTGTGTAACTTCCGAGAATCATTTATAAACTGTTATTATGCATATATATTCTTATTGTATAACTGTTAAGTGGCTAGATTTTATATATTTATATTTCTTATCATAAGCTTTCAATTGATCTGTTGGCTATCATTATATAATTTACAATTCTTAAGTTATTCCCAATCTATTAGTGACCGTCTCTCACACTCAAAGCTACTTTTGGCTTGATCTTGTGTAATCTTTGTTTTTTATTCTATGGTGTGATGCTTTCTGGTTTGCTTGTATATAAACTACATATGTCTGAAGTATATTATTCATATAGTCAAGGCTGGGATTATCTTCTGTACTCAACGGACAGGGCACGACGAGAAGAACCAATAGGGATTCAGAGTTAACACAAAGTTGCTAGTGCTGTTTTGGCTTGGCGCAAGAACAAGGTAATATAGATCAATATTCGGACTGACAATTTTTTCACATGATAATTAACGGCAAAAGTTAGAGCATAAAACATTATCTAATGGAATTACTCCTGCAATGTATCTTCAGTGTTGAATTTAGATTTGATAATGACTTACGGACAAACGGATACAGTTGCTATGGATTCATCACTCGACTCTTTTCTAGCCGATTATTTCAAATATGCGTCTCCCAAGGTTACAGTTTGTACCATGTGTGATTTTGAAAGGATTATAACAATCCCGAACTCGTAGTATAGTACCAGCACACGAAACGATGTACTAACTTGTTAATTTATGTACATGAATATTCTATTGTAAATGTTTACTGACTTTATTTATTTAATAATCTTAATTACATATGCCCGTTACCCGTCGTGGGGGAGCATTGCTACTTATCAGGATTCTCTGTCCAATTATACCCTGGGCAATCCTTCCTAGTTGCTATTCATGCTTTTGATGTCTGCTTCTAATTTCTGACACCATGTGTTCTTTGGTCTTCCTCTTTTTCACTTCCCTTCAAGATTCCAAGTTAGCGCTAGCCTTATGATGCAGTTTGGAGATTTCCGCCATGTATGTGCTATCCACTTACAACGTCTCTCCCCAATTTCATTTTCAACTGCACTTTATTTTATTCTCTTCCACAGTAGGTTGTTGCTGATGGTATCTGACCGGGAATCATTGAGTATCTTTAGTAGACAACTATTTATAAATACTTTTACTTTTTGATGATAGTTATGGTAGTTCTCTAAGTCTCGTCTATTAACCTTACTTAAGTGATATCTTATCTGTTGACCCATGTTGTAAAATATTGATCATGCTTGTAAAAATGGTGTGTACCGACTACATATTATTGTTACTCATAAAATTATTCAGATTCTTATGTATGTAAATTTGCTTCCTATTTTTTCTACAACCAACATATCTTCTTGCATATCGGGCTAACTGAGCAACTTGTTACTTTAAGTTCTGTAATATTTGTAAAATTTTGATCTTGCCTATAAACTGACATGCCTCCCTGTAACATATTGTTATATGAAAATAAATTACTACCGAAACATTAAATGCATGTATTTAAATATAAGAGTATACACTGCTATTAGTCACCTGTTTTTATAAGCCTCATGAAACCAAAGAAGTGCTTGGATATATGTACTTCTATTGTCGTATTACCCGTCAACTAATATACCCCGTTTTACAGTCTACTTTACATAGAACCCCTATACATACGTACAGCGAACAATACCAGTCTACTTTCTGGCATTGCCGCGATGATATCTAAAACATATTGTTTACATGCAATAGCTTAACTACACATTATATTAGGTAAGTAGGAACAACAAGAACAAATAGACTTATAAAGGTAAATACAGTATAATGCAATACCAAATAGGATTAACGGTTTGCTGAGAAGAGTATGTACTGATATTGATTCCTAACCACACGATTCTCGAAGCTGAACTTTGCTGAGAAGATTTACATTAAACGTGTAACACTTGGAAGGGGTCGGTAATAGTGAATTCGGGAACAATCAACAGAAATAACATGGCTAGGTCATGCAAGCTTTGTCACTGCATAATTTATTGTTTTGTGTTGATTATATTACTCCCTACTCATCCTTAATGTTATTTTTAGGAGTGTTAGACGTCATATTGCTGATTTTCACGATAGGACGAGTCAGTGTAGACAATGATATGACCTCTACGTAAGATCTTGTGTGAGGGATCAATTTTCCACACGTATTTTTTTAGTTGGTGACCCAATGACTCAGCACGATTATTCATGTTGCTGCTCAGTGTTAGCCACTGAAAGCTGAGACACATATATTCTATCTGTTGAGCCATGACCGACACAGATACCGTTCCAATCTTCGGCTTATTTGATTGGTGATTCCGAAGTATCGATCAAGTCTAAAAAATAACTGCACTGTAAGCATTACCGTCCAACAGTCTACGTATTCACTAGGCGAAAAAGATAGGCTGTTAAAATACTATTACTGGTTTAAGTACTATGTTGTTAGTCTGCATTCATCTTCGTTTTTATCAAAAGCGTGGCAAACATGAAAGCCTCATAGGATTATCTTGGTTTGTCAATGGATGGTTCTGACTGCGGCAATCTCAGCTTGCTCAATGTCAATAACAATCGCCTCTGTCCTTGACGTATCACCCGTTATTTTTGTAAACTGATCTAATACCCAGACTACACCGTCTTTCTTTTCTATCCATATCTGTGAAAATAAAATCGGACGACCGAGGAAAAATTTACTAGTTATTACTAACGGAGACATTGAATACTTACAGATTGAAAGTTATCAAACATCATCCTCACCTCTTGTTGTTGGTATTGCAAGTAGAGTTCGTTCCGAAAAGGCCTGGATATTTTTTATAGAATGCGTTCTGATCGTAGTTACTAAAGCAGATTCTTCTTCGAAAGAAAATTCTCCCTGTTCATCCCCTTGTCTTAGGAGACTGAAGAATTGCAATCGAGTGCCACAGCCTGAAAATACAACAGTAAATAATTGCCTGTC